TTTTTTTTTTCAAGCCAAAAATTTTCCTATAAATACCCCCCAACCATTTTCCTCACCCAAAACTCTCATTCTCTCTCAATTTCTCTTAATCTCTCTCAAATCTCTCTTAATCTCGCTTAAATCTATCTCGATCTCTCTTAATCTCTCTTAAAGCACTCTCAATCTCTCTTATTTTTCATAATGGCTTCTTTTGGTTATGGTGGTGATATTCCCATTGATGCTCAATTCAACATCGAAGAAGGGCAATTTCCTAATGTTTTTCAAACGCAGGAATCGCAAACTACAGAAAGAGTTGCTGAGGAAACTGCAAATCCGACCTCTGGTGGACGTATTAGAGGTCGGGGACGTAATGGCGGTGGCACTGGTGGGCAAGTGCTAGTGCTAGTGCAAGTGTTGCAAGTTCTAAGAAGAAATGCAAGCGCACCTCAACAGTTTGGGAGCACTTTAACACATTCGAGGAGGTCACCGCCAAACTGGCGGTCTAAGCACGTGGAAATACGATCCGCAAGTTGATCGTATGAAAATGGCACGATTAATATCCATATTAGATCAACCACAAAGTTTTACTGAATAAAGAAATTAGCAGCGTTATATTAAAATTGTACATAATCCAAATGCACAATTTTTTTCTAGAACTACTCTTAGGAAAGATGCATTAAAATTATATAAACAAGAAAAGGAAGCATTAATCAACCTTCTACACTCTACTAGTAGTTGTGTTGCGTTAACGGTGGATATTTGGTCCGCCGTTGCCAACAATGATTATTTAGCTGTAATCGGACATTATTATAAAGGTTTTAATTTGGATAAGAGAATCTTAGGTTTCAAATGTGTTATAGGATCACATACTGCCAATTTAATATATAACATAATTTTATCTGTTATTGATTAATATAGTTTAAGAGATAGAATAATGGCCATAACTTTAGATAATGTAATTTTATTTGTTATTTTCGACCCTAGATTAAAATTAGAAGGGTTAGAAAGTGGATTAGATAACTTAAGGGAATTTTTAGCTATCGACACTACTGATTAATTTCCTATTATAAAGGAAAAAATATTTCTCTCTATATCTCTTACGAAAGTAGGTTTAGAAACACACATCGTGTTAAACAACCACAACAACGAGATGACAATCCGTATTCATTCTTGAATGTTTTTGGGCTGTCTAAGAAGAAGAAGAAGAAGACGACGACTTAAGGTCAAGAAGAATCTTGGAGTGGATCTTCGTCAAGAGGCGGCGGCAACAGCGTCGGATTCAACGAGTTAATGGCGTACCTGAGTGAGGGCTTAGTTGTAGACAGTAGTGAAATGTTTGATTTGGTTCAGTGGTGGAGGGCACGAGCATTAACTTGGTCGATCCTAACACGAAAGGCAATGAATATTTTTTCAATCCCGGTCTCCACTGTTGCGGCCGAACAAGCATTCAGTACAACCGGCCGAATACTTGAAGAACGGAGAAACACATTGCAACAGGATATTGTTAAAGCTTTGGTGTGCATCAAGGATTAGGATCGTTCCGACCAACGCTTACATGATACAATCTCACCGACAAGCCAAAAATAGATCGATGAGTTTAATAGATTAACTTTTAATTTTCAAGACGATCATTCTGCTTCAAATTAAATTTTATTATTGTAATTTGTAAATATTCATTTACTTTGTAATTTCTAATTTGTATAGTGTTATTGTAATCTTGTATAGACTTTGTAAGTTCATCAAATTTGTAATTTGTCCCACAATAATTGCACTCCTTTTTCCTTACCAAATTTTTATCCCAATAGGATTTTTCTTGGTAAGGTTTTTAACGAGGCAATCATGAATTACAAATTTAAAAATCAATGAAGAAATAATTTTTTTATATAGTTCGTGTGTTCATTTCAAATTTCAAATTGTAATATATAAATATAATATATATATACACATTATAATTATAGAAATACAATATAAAAATATAATATAAAAAAAAGTTTGAAAATTCGGGCATTGGGCAGCCCGACCGGGCACGAGCAGCCACCTCCTGCCTGAAGCCCGTCTAAGGTGAAAATTCGGGTTGGGTCGGGCAGCCTAAATTTTTGGGCAGTTCGGGTTCGGTAATCGGGCAAAAATTTAAAATTTTCGGTGGTCGCAGGGGACCCATCCAAAATTTCAGCACTAACCTCACTCCAATATTTTAAATAATGATGAAAAATCCATTACTTCACAAATTCTCATAAAATAAATCTTACATCAAATAATACAAACTGAACCTATTACTAGAATCGCATAAATTTCCAACAAATACACGAGTGATTTTATTAGTCAAATCAGACAAATAACACAAATTTGAAAAAAATTTCCACTTTCAATCTGCTTTTGCCTCTTCAAAGAAGAGCTCCACGATTTTGAACACAAGGATTAGTGCAAAATTTTGTTTGCAATCTGGGCACGCTCTTTTTTGTCTCTCTATGGAGTTCATTTGCGTAAAACGACCAACCTGTAAATTTTCCCAGAAATTGAAAAAACAGGATTATTGCCCAGTGTCATCATACCGAAAACCTAACATTTATCGCCGCAACAATCAAACTCAATCAACACAATCTCACTACAACTAACTAATGCCAATTACAACATTCTCCCTCCTTGGTTTCCACCGTCAATATCGAAGGAAGGGATGTCAAAGATGGGTTGAGGGGAAAAAGGGAAAAAGGGATTTAGCTATACAAATCAAAAAAACAAAAAACAAAAACAAAAACAAAAAAACAAAAAAACAATCACTGCAACCAAGATTCAGGTAGGAGGGGCACCAGTGAGATCGGGACCCACGTGAGTCTCGGCACATTCGTAGGTGATCACGCCCGAACCGAAGGTGGAGATGGCCGTCACCTTCGTTGGTGCTCGGAGAAAGGGTTGGCGGTGGCCGATGGAAGCTAGGCTGATGAGGCTTCTCAGACTTTTAATCAGAGACACTAGAATAGTTTATTATTTATTAAATAATGAGAAATTTATTTATACAACCATTTAAAAGTTTTTTATATTTATTTTAAAAAGATGTAAAAATAACAATTCACAAAAAAAATTAAGTAAAGACATATTTAAAAAAAATTATTTTATTAACCAACTAAAAATAAATAAAAATACAGGAAAAAAGTTACTCTTATAGAAGTAAAATGAGCAATAATATATTTCTATTAAACACATAAAAAATTAAAATATAAAAAAATTCAAAAAAATAATAAAAAAAAGTAAGTAGAGGGGCTCTCACGTGACAGTCATATAGAGTTTAACTCTCTTATGTATTATTAAATTAAATTAGATGTATAGAGAAAAAAAGGCAATAGGAAAAAAAAAAGAGAGAAGAAAAAAAGAAGTCAAAAAGAGAGAGAGAGTTAAAAAAATTAGGAAAAAAAAAGAAAGAGCATGTGACCTTCATAATGGCCAACACACGGCATCCTTAGAAATCAAGTCCTTTACTCTTTAAAATATATATAGATATATGTGGTGTTAGGGTTTATACACTTTTAGTAATCAATGGCTAAAAATAAAAAACTAATTAGATTGTGGTTGAGATTTTTAGTTAGGTAAAATTAATATTTCAAAAAATATAAGGGTCATATTATAATTGTCAAATTTTGAAAGAAGAGCGTAATCAAATATGACTGTATTCATTTTAGTTTTTATGGGCAGCATTATCTTGAGCTTTTAATATGATGGTATTCAGAATTATTTTTAATTTACGTGTGTTTTTTATGAAAAAAAATACTGTAACAAATAACGAATTATAATTTAAATCATGACACGAATATTTAAACCAAACGCACTCTAATATGATGGTCTAGATTTTGCACTTTATAAGTGGGGAAAGTACACCCCCTACCACATATTTTTCCCATAGAGAGAGAATCAGAAATTGAAGTCCCAGAAAGGGGAATGGAGAGAGGAGAGAGGAGAGAGATAAGTAACTTTAATGAAGGAATACGGTCTTTGACGGGAAAAGCGGACCAAAATGGAGACATGGAAACATGAGTGAGGTGGCACTGTATGAGTGGTTGAACAAGGTTTGAGACATGGAAATTTGGACACAGAACCCAAATCCCAACTTCAGCACTCACAAATAACATAAACCTGTCTTAATACTACATAGCACTTTTGGATTAGATAAAAGACGAATGGCGATTTGCCCTCTTAAATGGTATTTAATAGTTTTATTGTCCCTGTTTTTCCATTAGCAACTTAGAAAGGAAAGTTAGATCCAAAATCTTGATAAATTCTTATACAAGAGGGGAAAAGAAAAGAAACTATAGGATATATGTATGTATATATATATATATATATGAGTAATACAGGTTACAACTCTTTTATAAATTCAAGCAAAAAAATACACGTCCACACGTATTCTTTATTTTGACTTATTTCCTGCCATTTTATGTATATACATTTATAAAAAGAATTATTCTCATGATCTCATCCATTCCCATTACATTCATTCTTTTATTTTGACTTTTACGTATAAAGAAATAAATAAATCAACTATAAAAATAATACGTGTGTACCATCTCCACACTCTCAGGCTAACAGAAAAGAGAAAACGCCAATATTTTTAGCATGGAGAGAGAGAAAAGATAAGCATAAAACCAGAAAAAATAAGTCAAAATACGTTATGACCAACGGTGTAATGCCTTTGATTTGACAATAAATCTTACAAATTAATGCTCAATGCCCAAAAAAGCTTTGCTAAAATTGAAGATGCTATTAATGACATTTTCTTATCAAAACAAAGATCATTTTCTCCCCAAGAAATCCGCCAGACCATTTAAAATCGTGCCATAATGAGTAGTGGCTATGCAATTCTCACTCTTAAATTACTATTAAGAGAAAATAAAACATATTAAGTTTCTATATTTGTACCAAAACTTAACTATATGAACCAAACATCCTCTGACAATTCCATAACACATACAAACAATCACATTAGCCAAAAAAAAGGTTCCACTCCCCAAAACAAACCCTTTTGATACAAAATGAAGTTCATCCCAAGTCTTTGCCTTGTCATCCTTGCGTCTCTCTGCCTTCACCAAATCTCATTTGTGAGTGCTGATTTGATCTCCCAAACATGTGGCCAAACCCGGTTCAAGGACTTGTGCGAGAAGACGCTCCGAGGGGACCCCGGGAGCAAAAGTGCTGACATCCATGGCCTGGCTAAGATTGCCCTCAAGGCCACCTCAACAAACGCCGAAGTCGTTCAAAGCCAAATTTCCAAGCTCCAAAAATCAACAACCGATAAGTACACCCTACAAGCCTTGAAAGACTGCGCCGAGAATTACGAAGGTGCTAGCGAGCAACTTTCTGATTCGCTCACCGTGATTGAGTCTAAGCATTATGCTGATGTTAACACGTGGGTGACGGCTGCAATGAGCGACTCGGATTCTTGTGAAGATGGGTTCAAGCCAGGCACCTCAAAATTGACCGCATTGAACAACAATTTCTTTCAACTATGCAGCAATGTCTTGGCCATAGTCAACCAAGCCGCCTCGGTTAACAAAGCCTAATTCGGCAACTATGTAGAAATGGTGTTGGCCACATCAAACCAACCGGCTATAGCCTAAGTGATGTATTAAATACGAGATTTCTCACCTTTCTATTCCAATCCAAATGCAAAATTTCTTGAATTAGAATGCATAAGAGGTTTTCACTCATTGAATTTCTTTGAGAAACATAGGACTTTATTTGGATCATTTTTTGCCTAGCTTTATTGGCTCTTATGCACTTGGTATTTCGCAATTTTGTAATAAAACCCTTCCATTTCTCAAAAAAAAAAAAAAAAAAGGAAATCTTTGTGAAAATAGATCTACTCGTGGTATGCACAATTTTAGGATACGCTTTTCAAATTGTTTGTCAAAAAAAAAAAAAAAAAAGGACAAAGCGATAACCAAGTTTAACTTAGAATACTAAAATTGATCTACAGCAAATCAGTATGTCAAGGAATCCTAATCTATTTTTCCCATATTTTTCATCGGCATAAATGAGGGCAATATTTGGCATTGATTAATTTTGTGCACGCAAAAACTGATTGCTAAATATAATTGTTCAACCAAATATTTTATTAGCAAAAAGGTAAATGCCGGAATTAGAAGAATGACCACGCAAATCAAGTCAATAATTTATCCAAGTTAACAGCTCTTGTACATAAGCAAACAACCCGGTGAGAGAGGGACTAGTTTGGTGTTGTTGTGCTGTCGAAATATTTTGCGTCAGTTGTGTTAGTTAAAATGTACTGTTATTTAACATTAGGTAGGCCATTTTGTCACTTTTTTTTTAATTTGCTGGAGAATATTAAATGTAAAAATTTAAGTATTTGGTAAACTGTCAATTGAATTATTATGGAAATAGATAATTGACTAAATTTGAAATATTTTGTTTTCATTTAATAAAAGCATATTGATACGCATAGTTTAGTTTTTATTTTTTAGTGCAAAGGTCAGCAATCATAATTTTTTTCAAAAAATTATGAGAATAAAACTTTAGTTTTACTGTCTCAATATCTTTAAAAATACAAATTGCTTTCATTTAAGGAATATACATTCATGTAATTATATAATTGTTATTGAAAAAATTTGAGCATAGTTTGGTGGTGTATATTGTATAGAAGGCGGTTTATCATTTTAGTACCTTGTGAATTGTGATATAACATCATATTAATACCCTATTGTTTAGAAAATGTTAAAAAGTATGGTACTACGAGCGCTTTTTGGTTGCGAAATATCCAGTTTATCTTTTTAATTAATAAATTTTAATTTAATTGATATATTTTTTTTTGAATCCATGAGTAATATTAGGCATCGTTCAGTTCGTAGATTTGAGTTTTCAATTTGAATTGAGATGTGATTTTATGTGAGAACTTTTAACTATAGTAAGAAAAAAAATTTAGATGTGACTTTTTATGATAATTTTTAATTGTAACAAAACTGAAATTGAAAAATCAAATCGCTGAAATGAACGAGACGTTAATTTATCTTCCACGTATGTAATACGTGTTTTCTAACAATCCCAGTTAATGAATCTCCTCCTTAAATTTTCACCCGGGAGCAGCAGAGTGAGTCGTCGTGGTGAGCACGCGGTAAGAATGCCAATGTAGGCCAAAGAGTTCTTTTCCGCAAGATGGTGGGTGGGTGTCACACATCTATGGGAATTATTTTTTTTATAATTTGAAGGTATCTTTATAATATTTTTTAAACAACGTAGTACCACTGTGATGTTACATTAAAATTTAAGATATCAAAGTGAGAAAGCCCATTAAAAAATTTTAACAAAGCAAAAGTTTAAAGAACATTTGATGGCTGCATCCTGCATTCTAATAGCAAAATTACAGCCGATTCCATACTGACTTGTAGAGCTCAAGGGCCTGTTCGGCAATTATGTTTTTGAGTGAAAAATTCAAAAAAAAAAAACAACTCGAGTTACAATTTTATTCGAGTTAATGTTCTTTTAAGTTTGAACTCGAGTTTAAATTCGAGTTTGAACTCGAGTTTATGACTAAAACTCGAGTTCAAGTTTTCCCTAC